GTTTAAAGCTTGGGAAATCTTTTTGTATCCTAATCCAGCTTTAAACTTCTCCACAACAGTATCTCAGACCTACACAGTGTGTTCCTTGGTCTTCATGATGCTCTCTGCACTTTAAACAGAACCCTGAGACTATCACAGAGCAGGTGCATTTCTACATTGATTCCACACAGGTGGATTCTATTAATCATCATCAGTCATTTAGGACAACACTGGATCATTCAGAGATCCTCACTGAACATCTGGAGTCAGTTTGCTGCACTGAAAGTAAAGGGGCCGAATAATATTGCACGCCCCACTTTTCAATTTGTTAAAAAAGCTTAAAATATCCAATAAATTTTGTTCCACTTCACGATTGTGTCCCACCTGTTGATGATTCTTCACAAAAAGTTAAAATATTATTTCTTTATGTTAGAAGCCTAAAATGTGGCAAAAGGTTGAAAAGTTCAAGGGGGCTGAAAATTTTCTCAAGGCATTGTAGAACTGCTTTTGTAAGAATTTCTTTCAGTTATAAATGACAAAAAGATTCTCACCTTCAGTGTGTCCATAGAAGAGTGTACTGAGCACTACAACACAGATGAAAACTTTGTCAGATATGATCAAACACTATAGTTCTCTAACTGTAGTACATGTACCACTGGTGGTACTCAGGATCTCTATATTGATACTCAAAAGAACATTTCACATCAACTATTTATAAGGTAAACAAGAAGCTGGTCAACCATCAGAAGCTGACCTGTCCATCATCCATACCCACTTATTCATTTCACTGGTGCCAAATGCAGCAGTGCAATTAACCTTAACAATCATGTTTTTGTTCTGTGGGAGGAGTACCCGGAGAGAACTCATGCATGGACAGAACATGCAAACTCTACCCAGAAAGGTTTCRGGGCCRGGATTTGAACCAGCAACCTTCTTGCTYAGAGGAATCAGCTCTACAAACTGAGCCACCGTGCCACGCAAGCTGACCTGTGTGACACTAAAACACACGAGTAGCTAAAAAAAACAAGTGGTTTAAACAAATGGCAACTTTACTCCAGATGGAAGCTAAATAAAAGTAGAGAGACAAATGTTTTTGACAACCTTGTGGAAAGTGAAGTGGACGATGTGCAGGTGGTCACTAAAGCWGGGAAGCTTCTATAGGACCTGCTAATCAGCATAGATTTGATCTGGTTGCTGTAATATATGTCAGTATTTATTTTTAAATATATTTCATTGTAATTAGTTATTTGATACTTAAAACTTGAGTCAGACGGTTGTAGCCGAAACTCTCAGACCACAACATGAGTGACAGAACAGTGACTACAAAAATAAAACATGACGTCTTCTGTTAACTTGATTTTTATCTGCTTCTGTTCTGCAGAACAAGAGGAGGAAGAGACTCTTTGTCTGCTTTTTATGTTGATGGACTGTTGGCTGCAAAACATTGATTCAAGTTTTCTGAAATTTTGTGTTCAGTTTTTGATCAAACAAGATTTTATCCACAGTTAGCACTTTTATATCAGATGGATAAACTTAGATGTTTTTACTGTTTGTCAGTTTCTGTCATCATTTGTGGTTCTCTGTGTTTCTGCGATATTTGTTGTAAAAGGTTTGGAACCATTGGGCTAACATTTCAACAATTAGTGATCAAAATGATTAAAAACAATGTAAAAACATAATCTTAAATCTAGATTAAACAGTTCACCATTGATATTATTTATTCTGCAAACAGGAAGTGAGTGATGAACTTACAGAAAAGTCCCAGCATGCAGAGCAAAGCGTGTCCCATCCTCACATCCAGACCTGCTGCGTTACTTTAACTAGAAGGATGAAGAAACACAAGTTCCATCCACCTGATCTCTGACATCATGTTTTCAGACTTCTGACATTAGCCTGACTGTGTTTCCTTCCTTTTTCCTCAGAGCTCACTCTGCAGCAGTAATTATTAGACACACAAGTACATTTCCTGYCCACTGCAAWGACAAATACTTTCAAGTYAAAATGTTTTTGTCTTCTTTCCAAATTAATTACAAATGTTTAATGCAGAGCAGTGATGTTCTTCTCATGTCTGTGTTTGTTCGACTTAGTGTCAACCGTACCTCAGATTTCTACCCTTCTTGACACCACAACCAGTAAGAACACCTTCTATATTGGAACTGATGGACAACTTAGGACCAGAATCATGGTTGTAATAATGAGAGAGGACCATTGCAATAAATAGGAAATGACATTCTATTATGGAGGACCAAAACTGTTGAAAAAAGAAATAAAAGTATAAATATAAATAAATTACATTTGCTTTTCCTTACACGTGCATTTTCATCAAAAAATGCCAATGTATATTGCTTTTTCCTGTTCCTTATATGTTTTCATCAAGAAACGTCAATGTTATCGTGAAACAAGCTGAAAGAGCTGTTTGTGGCAATGTGAAGACTCAGTCGGCCTCWAGTTGTCAAGACAATAGAGAAGTGGTCATAAACTCTTCTGGTGCATTCCAGCATCAGGCCCAGCCGCCCCCTCCTCCGCACAACCCCCAAAAGGCGCAAAACCCACTCATCTCCTGGGGCCTCATGTATCAATGGTGCATGCACACAAAAACCTTGCATACGCCATTTTCCACGCAAAACTCCGGATGTATCAAAACTCAACTGAAC